TGTAACATTCAAACATACATAAGGACATATTGTAAAATAATAGAAAGGCCAATTGTAAAATTAATTTAGGGTGGTACACTTGTATGGGTGGTATTACTGATTACCTACCTGTATGATGTACCTGAATAGCATAAGTAGCTTTAGTTTTGAGTAGTTTCTAGTTTTATCTTCCTCTTGAAGATGATCACTTGGTCATCGAAACACGTGTCGAGATGTAAAAATAACGATTTGGTGTTGGGAAAAAACTCCAGTAATATTCATTACTACACCAAAGGTTCCAAACAGTACATCATAAGAACATAATTAAATCAAAAGACTTGACTAGATTTGGATTATATTCAGATGAACTGTGATATTTGAAATCCACATTCTAATCCAGAATCTACCATTGATTTTTTTGATTTATTTGTGTCACTTTTCATTATATCCACCAGAACAAAGTTTTCCGTCTCTCTAGGAGACATTATTAATACAAATTGGCAAATACCTGTAGATTTCATTGAAAATCATATCTAATATGAACCACATACTTCTCCATGTTGAAACAAAAAAAAACGGAATGATCCTCACATTTTGTTGTATCAAGATGGAGAAGTAGAAAGCCAAAACCTTTTTTCCCTAGATATTATATATTCTTACCTCAACTCGTGAACAAGATGTCCAGTGATTCTAGAACCTGACGCGGCCAGTGGATGACCTAATGCAATAGCCCCGCCATTCACATTTAGTTTAGTTATATCTAAATTCAATTCCTTTGCACAAGACAATGTTTGAGCTGCAAAAGCTTCATTGATCTAAAAAAAAAATTCAAATAAATAATTTCTATTATTTATTCTACAAAGTAATCAAACTATTTTTTTCAGTCAGACAAGTCCAAATTAGATGTCAGGAACCCTATTTTAAACATCCAATTAAAATTATAAATAATGGCGATAGAGTTCCGGGAGTCGGTACTTTTTTTATCGGAAATTTCCTCCTCTTTAACAAGCTTTTTTCAAAATTGCTTAAATATTATTATTTTTTGCGTTAATAACGAAAAACTAAATACCATTTGTTTTTAATTTTATTTTGTTAATAACAATTGCAATTTTTTACCTGCACGAAAATCCTTCAAAACCATATTTCTAGAAGTGATTCCGAATCGAATGAGCTATCGCTCATATTTTTAGGACTTTTATCTCTATTTTTCATGTTTTTGAACTTGTTGATTAGACTAATCAGACCATGCCTGACATCCGGATGCAAATTTTGCTAACGCCAGGAGGAAAAGGATACCCAGCTACTAGAAGAAGAACTTCCCACCAAACGTGATAAGGCAGCGGCCAGAGATTCGTTTATGGACATCTCTGATAGGGAGATAATCTAATCTTCCCTACCTCCCGCCGCTTCAGGTTCCCTCTGACCCGGAGGGTAGCAACCTGTAAGGGTCCCTTATCCAAGGATACGGACGGACAATTTGAGGAATCACCTGACCATGATGTGATACGGTCGTTAACAGCCTCTGAGGGTGACACTACCTTCACGACGAGGCAAGAGATCATCGTAGCGCAGAAGGAGGATCCCGTCTTGAAAACTGTACGAGAATGAATGGATAGCCGAAGGAGTGAGGACCGGAAAGGGAATATATTTCCAAGCACGGCCAGCCGGAAAAGGGCTACTGGCTTTATTGGTACTCTATGAGCATTCGAGATGACCTACTCACTTGGAAATGGAAAAGCCCGGATGAAAGAATCCACAATTTCCAGATAATCCTTCCAAAGACGTGTACCCCGAGTCGCACTAGAGGATATTTCGGATTAAATATAACTCTAGCGAGAGTGCGTGAGAGGTACTATTGGGTCAATTGCCGTCGAGACGCGGAGGAGTAGTGTAAGCTGTGACCTGCGCTCTTCGAGAAAGACAAAGAGGAAAGTTGAAGCAGTACCTCAGTGGGAGCCCTTTCAAGAGAATCGCAGTTGACATTCTGGGACCACGCCCTATGACCACATCCGGTAACAAGTACTTTATGGTTGCCACATCCGGTAACAAGTACTTTATGGTTGTGATGAACTACTTTTCTACATGGCCTTACCCAAACCAGTGGCTAAAACGGTGGCAGAAGCCCTATTGCAGAACGTAATTGCCAGACACGGAGACTACACTCGGATCGGAGCCGCAACTTCGAATCGGAATAATGGTAGAAAATGATGACTATTGGGAATAAAGAAGACAAAAACAACTGCTCTTCACTCACAATCTGATGGAATGGTCGAGAGGCATAATCGCACCATCAATAACTACCTTTCGATGTTTGTCTCCGAAAACTAAAGAGACTGGGATACAGTGGTTTCTTTTTCTGTTGTCATACATGAGCTCCCAACAGGACGCGACAGTTTATATACTGGAAAATAACTGTTCACTAAGGTGATTGCCTCTTCATTTGACGAAAATTTCTGTTCTCCGAGCGCAATTTTAAGATGAAGGTCTTAAAAGAAGTCGCTTGGGGCTAGATCTGGTGAGTAAGGCTGATGGTCAAGCAGTTCAAACCGTAATTCGTGGATTTTCGTCATCGCAACCCCTCATGTTTAAGATGGTGCGTTGTCTTGGTGAAACACGATTTTTTTCTGCAAATGTGTCCGTTTTCCCGCAAGTTCTGCCTTCAGCTTCTAAAGTAATGATGCGTAGTATACACCTTTAATATTTTTCCATTTTTGAAGATAATCGATTGAAATATACTCTATGACTATCCCAAAAAACAGTCGCTATCATTTTCCCAGCTGAAACAACAGTTTTGTTTTTCTTGGCGCCGGTTCCCCCTTTGCAGTTCACTATTTGTACTGTATTTTTGTTTCCTGCGTATAATAAATGGTATCTCCAAGTTTCATCTACAGTAATTAATCGTCGCCAAAACTAGGATTAATTGCGCCTAAGCTGCACTAAAGCAGCGTTGGAAATGTTCATCGAGCACTTTTTTGGTCTAACGTGAGCAAACGCGGCACCCAATGCGCGGACAGCTTTCACATGGCTAAATGTTGATTTGATATATGACAAACACGTTCTTTTGGAATGGTCATTCTCTGCTAGCTCTCTAACTTCAATTCGGTAGTCGTCTAGCACCATTTGGTGAAGTTTGACGATTTTTTCGTCGGTAGTTGCAGTTTTTGGGCGGCTCGAACGTTAATTATCTCCCAAGCTCTTACGGTCACGTTTAAATTCGGCTGCCTAAAATTTCACTGTGGTAAATGATGGTGCAGAGTCTCCATACACAGAATCCAACTCATCTTTGATTTGATTTGATTTGTCTTTCAAAAACAAATATTTAATGACAGCTCGATACTCAATTTTGACCACTTTCATGAAAATACATCAACTTACTCAAACGACTGTTACATAATAACTGCGCGTCCAAAATGACTGACTAACTGTCAATAGATGAACAACGAAATTCACTAACTTTTATTTACGAGTGCTCCAATCTTCATGTTGAGGTCGGAATCTTTTCAGTCCACCCTCGTACTTTGCACCCCACTCGAAGATTATCCCCAACTCTCCAGTCAGTTCTCAAAAATAATTATTGCTGACTTTGAATATGTAGGCAATAATCGACGTAGTTTATTGATTTCAAAAATTAATGATTGAATATTAAACAAAGTATAAAGAAAGACAATAAAAATAAAGTAGGTTTTGATGAACTGAGTGATTTAATTTTGATAACTCAGGGGATTGGATTGGAAATGAAATATTATAATACCATTCGACAATATTTCATCAGTTCGGACTTCCATTGTCTAATATAATATAAATTGATTTGAAATCCCTGAATAACAAAAAATGATAAATATAGTAGATTACATATTTGTACATATAATAATCTTAGTAACGAGTATTTAGAAATTTAGAACACTAATATATGTAATGTTCGGATGTTAAGTTTGTCTTGAAATTATTATTTAGAACATGCGTGAGCCATCTATGTGTAGAAGTGATAGGTAGGGATTTGTCATTTTTGATTAGGGCGAAAGGTGTTCACTCCCGTTTGGAACGTGTTCTTGTGAAGTAACCAATAGTTCAATTCGAGGTGTTTAATGATTTTCCAATCATCCTTAGTTGGGATAATCTCAAACTTCACCATTAAAGAGTTCTGAAGGCCGTATAGTGTATTTGATGGGTTGGTTATTTTGAATACAATCCAGAACTGATCTCGTAAGAGGATTTTAGTGGTATTTTTTTTGTACAACGACAGAGTAAAACGTGTACACGATCTTGTAAAGCTGTTACCATATTGTGTGAAACGTGGCAATTCTCTACAGTTCACGGAAGTGATAAAACCCCTTAACCAGAGTAAGTTAATCTTTGTATATATTGTGTTTGTCTTTGTATATTTGTTGAGATTTATGTAACATTTCTGTTTCAATAAAGAGACTACTGTAGGGCAGATTTACATGTCCCTCCACCTCAGCTTGTTCTCTGTGATGAAATTGCAGTCTTTCGTCTTTAGAAATTAATTGTTGTTGTTTTTCTTGTTTGTTTTGTGGACTGACAGAAATGTGTTAGAATCACGTTCTGTTGGGAGTTTGAATAACCATATAAGATTTTGAGATATACTACTTTTTTTTAGGGTTTTTTTGGGGTAATTTTTATTTTCGTACCTGCTTCGCTGGATTCCGAGCATTGGAAGCACCTAACCTAGAGGCAGAAATCCACACATCAACTGGGTGATCCATCACAACAGGCACCACCACGGTGTGATTTTCCACTATGACCCGGAGCATACTACAGGGTGTCCCGAGTTCTGAGGACTTTGAAGCTGGTACTCAACGCCGTGGGAGAGACGCAAGTTTAGATTTCATTTATCTTAAAGATTTATAGAACGCTATTGTGCTTATGTATCTGCTTCATTGCAAAGGTGAATTTTAATACAAATTATCTGATGCTTCATTATCATACATGTGAAGGGGAAATTTTATGTTTACCATTTTATTCTTGATTATGATACTATGCGCCTACGCTTGAGCTCTCGCGACGCCGCCCTCACTATGTCGCATGCATTTTAATTTCGGCCCTGATATTTTTCAACACGATTTATGCTCGTGTTTGGTAGGTAGTGACAGATTTAGTTGACGCTTACCAGGTTTGCTTGTCCTTTAATTCATTAATGTTCGCATTGCTTGAAACGTTATATTCATCGTTGGGTAAATGTATATATGTACACCTAAAATTTGGCTTCGTTTATGGAAATTGGTGTTGATGCTGTGAAATATAGTTTATGGAGTATCATGGTATCACGACTGTATATATAATTTGTAATCAGAGTTGCGTATTGCTTTCTTATATTGCTATAAATTGCTACTGCTACAGTTACTCTCGCTCAATTATTATTATAGGAATTTTTCAGAATAAGTCATCAAACCATCCAGTTGACTTTTGAACTTGTTAATATTGAATAGTTCAGTTAATTTGCATATGTTGTTGATAAAGTACACCGGTTCTGAATAAATCTATTTTATGAACCAGTTGTTTCCATGTCCTTTGGTGAATTAGGGATATAGGCACATAACTAAGGGTATTTCTGGGTAAATTTACCTGGCGCCCATTATTTCTTTAATACCTATTCTTAACGAACCACTCCCGTCTTCACTGAGTGTAGCCGCAAATACCCACTTGACACTTGTTGTTGGTCAAGTGCAATGCGTCTTCGGTAGATCTGAAGGTCGCATGAAAATCAATTTGTGATAAAAATTTGTGATGATATTAGTGATTTGGATATTATGGTTGCAGTATTCTTTTGTACTATTCCGTATCAATAAATGGATCGATGAGACATG